TATCCAAGTTATCAGCGCACAAACTTACAAACATTCTCCTTTATATATTAGATTATTAGGGGTTCTGCAAAATTCTTTCGAGTTTAAAAGGGTTATATGGCCAAATAGAATTGGGAAACACTGCTCCAGAGGATAAGAAATGCTCATGTATTTGCAGTGACTTCTCACACCATTCTAGAAACAGCATTGACAGGTCTTGTCATCCTCCACTGAAAGAAGGGTTCTGTGACAAGGATCTCTGGGGAAGAGGGAGATGTACCTGCTAGTCAGGGGGAAGAGGACTTTTCATTCTTGAAACTGCCGTGCTATACAAATAATATATTGACTGTAAATGTTTTTGTGCAACAAACTGTATCATGACCAGTACATGTAAATTTGACATCAACCTCTTCATCCAGCTGAACTTAGAGATGGATAAACTTTTAAAAAGTCACAGAAATAGACTATCTAAATATTGAAACCCAGTCACTTCTTCTGCTAGACTTCAGTTTTCCAGTTTGACACCTTTAACCAGACCACACTTCAACATAGGTTTATTTTAGTGTGTCTCATTTTCAGAGTGCACCCTTATGGTTTCCCTGATGTTGACAACAGCCCTGTGAGTTCCTCTGACATCTCTAATGTCTAGCTGCTCAAACTGTAGCCAAATGCTGTACCTCAGAGCTCCATCCCTGAGCAAACAATTCCCCCTTAAAGTCACACAAATGTATGAAAGGGCAACAAACCACCATAACCATGGGAATATTATCCTCAGTGAGGTCTAGCCAGCCATAGAGACATCTCCATCTTGCCTCTGGCCTCCCAAAGGTGCATTTGACCACCATGCAGCATCTATCTGTTCAGCCTGTTGTTCAAACCACTCCAGGAGCCCCATATACCATTTCATGAGCCAGAGCTACAAGGGAGAATCTGGGTTTCCAAGGACCACAGTGGGCATTTCCACATCCCCCACTGTAATCTTGTGGTCTGGAAAGAAAATGTCCATCTGCAGCTTTCTGTACAGGCCAGTGTTCCTGAAGATGCGTGCATCATGCACCTTTCCAGACCGCCCCACGCTGATGTCTGTGAAATGCCCATGGTGATCCTCAAGCACCTGCGGCACTCTCAAAAACTATCCCTTGTTGTACTCAGTGGCAAGGTGGGCTGCCACTAAAATCTGAATGTGCGCACCATCGATGGCCTCCACCCCAGTTGGAAAATCCCATGTCTGCAAAGCCAACCACTATGTATGTCATGCACATTTCCCAGAGTCCTGGTCCTCCATAGAAGGATGTGATTTATTGCCCTGCATACTTGCAGCAGTACAGCTTCCCCACTCCAAACTGATTTGCAATCAAGTGGTGGCAACTGGGAGTCATGAGCTTCCACACAGCAACTGCCACACATTTCTCAGCTAGGGATGTAAGTGGCTAGTCGACTACCCGATAAGAATATGCTTATTGGGTAGTTGAGTAGTGACTCGACTAGTCGCTTCCTCCCCACTTGCTGCCACTGTCAGGGAGAGGCAGTAGGTTTGGGGCGGGAGCAGGAGCTAGTGCTGAGGGGAGCCATCTCTATGGGGAGCAGGGGAGGCAGTTGTATCCCTACTGCTGCACCTCTCTCTTTGAAATGTACAAGAGCTACCTGCTGCCTGTGGCTCTGGTACATTTCAAAGGAAGAGACCCAGTGGGACTGCTTAGGTCCCTACCCCTGCGCCTCTCCCTTTGAAATGCATGAGCTACCTGCTGCCTGTGGCTCTTATGCATTTCAAAGGGAGAGGCGCAGGAGTAGGGACCTAAGCAGTCCCACTGGGTCTCTTCCTTTGAAATGTACCAGAGCCACAGGCAGCAGGTAGCTCTTGTACATTTCAAAGAGAGAGGTGCAGCAGTAGGGATACAACTGCCTCCCCTGCTCCCCATAGAGATGGCTCCCCTCAGCACTAGCTCCTGCTCCCGCCCCAAACCTACTGCCTCTCCCTGACAGTGGCAGCAAGGGGGGAGGGAGGGAGCGGTGGGCGGCTCTTGTACATTTCAAAGGGAGAGGCTCAGCAGTTGGGACTCCACGAGAGCAGGGATACTTGCTCCACGAGAGCAGGGATACCATGCCCCTACTTGCATGGGTTCCCTACTGCATCTTTTCCTTTGAAGTGATTCCCAATCAGTGTAGTATCAGAGTGCCTAGGAAGATAGGGAAAGTTTTAGGCTTCCGAAACATAGGGATGTTGGATTAATTGAACAGTCATATAACCACACAAAACATCGGTTACAACATTATTTGATAGTCCGTGGGGGTGGAGCTGGTAGCCAGTGCACTCCAGCCCCACTTCCTGGGAGACCCCTGCCACCCTGTATCTGAGACAGTAGCATGGGGTGGCAGCAGCCTCTGTCTGCGGGGATGGGGGGGTCCAAGCTCCCCGTGGACAGAAGCTGTGCTGGCATCCCCATAACCACACAAAACATCGGTTACAACATTATTTGATAGTCCGTGGGGGTGGAGCTGGTAGCCAGTGCACTCCAGCCCCACTTCCTGGGAGACCCCTGCCACCCTGTATCTGAGACAGTAGCATGGGGTGGCAGCAGCCTCTGTCTGCGGGGATGGGGGGGTCCAAGCTCCCCGTGGACAGAAGCTGTGCTGGCATCCCCTGGAGCAGCCTCTGTCCACAGCAAGCCTG